CCACGAAACTGAAAGAAGCGTATTGGGCATCATGAGAGGAGGCCAACTACAACCGGTCTACTACAACTACAACCGCCGTCACCTTCCGTGACGTCATTTATGACGTCAAAAGAGTAATAAGAGTTTTTCGTCAATAACTTCCGGTCAAATTGAGCTACCGAGTCGGGCAAGCCACCAATGGACTCAGGAAGACCTGCCGAATCGAATGATATGCAATATGACCTTCGACCAAGTTCATGACCTGGGGGCTCTGACCTAACCTTGACCTGAGGTCAACACCTTAACCCGCGCCCCAGTGGCGGTCTCGGCCAACTTCGCCCTAGTGAGGGGGGGCATATGTTACCACACACCTCTAACTCAAAAACTAAGAGGGCTAGAAAGACGCGGTAAAAAGCAGTCGATAGCTCTCAATACGTACGTTTGAAAGTATTCAGGTCATTTTTCACCTTAGAGCAATATTGGGGTCACCAGAGGTCATCAAAGGTCAAAATTTGCCAATTGTCATTATATTTTTCAGAAAACATGCCGCTATCTCAGGAACTATGGTAGCTAGAAAAACGCATGGAAAAGCAATCGACAGCTTTTGAACTCTTCTTTTGAAAAGGTCATTATCAATATTGTCCTCAGGTCAACGGTTTAGCCTCCAGAGGGCAAAAACTCCAAAAATAGCTGTTTTTACGAAAAGTGTTTTTCGACAATAACTCTCGACTACAAAAAGCCACGACATTTCTATTGCCAGAGTCGTGTTCCCCTCACCGAGACGCGTCGAATGAACTATAATTTGACCTTGAAAGGTCAACTTAAAAATTTGACCTCAGGTCAAGGTCATGACCTGACCGGAAAAGGTCATGTTGCATATCAGTCGATGCGTCTCAACAAGACAAACACAATGAGACCATCCCCAGCGTTCTATCTCTTTCCAATCGCGAGTTATTGGCAAATAACTGTTTGTAGCCTCAAATGACCTCGGTCCTCGGATGACCTTTCTAGAGGCTATCAGCAAAAATGACACCTTGGTCATCACGAGTGGACTAAATCATTGTGATTCTGAAATATTTGGACTGTTCCTATGCGTACACATGGATCTAGAGGCATTTTCATTTTTCTCCATTGACTTGTAATGGAAAGGTCATGCCACTGTCCTGACCTTAGGTCACGGATATAAAAAATCCGAGATATACAAATTGTAGGCTCCCATAACAGCATGCAATCCACCAAGTTTAAAACCTTTCTGACAATTCGTTTTTCTCACAGTCAATGACAATCCAAAAACAATGTAATAAGACCAGACGTTTCGACAACAAAGTGCCTTCGTCAGTGGAAAAACAAGATATAGGCTTTACATCGATAAAAAATATAGAAGACGACCAGCCTGCACGAAATACAGTTCTACTTTTTTGAAATACAGGTTATATCTAATCTCGCACTAAAATGTTGTATCGTTCTTCTGTCTAAACTATTCTGTAAGTCATAATCACAGCATTGACACATTGACACATTATAACAGAGACACTCCTATAGATATAGCTATTTGTTTTTTAGCACCATTTTCGCACCTATCCTGGACCAGCTGTAGAAGCCTTTGTCATTGACTGTGAGAAAAACGAAATGTCTGACTCTTCTCTTCTAATCTAATCTTTCTGACAAACACTGCAGGCTGGAAATGATTGCAAACTTTTTTAAGGCTTGGTCAGTTAACTTGACCTGGTGACCTGACCTGACATGACCTGGGGTCAAAAACTTCACACATTGTCCAAAATTGATGTACCAAAAGCTACCCCAAGCGGCGCGGCGCTACGCGCCGCGGTTTTTTATTCACACGCGAAAAACGCGACAGGGTGGTAACATATGCCCCCCCACTGGGGCGAAGGTTAAGTTGATCATGACAGACCTCTGCTAAACAAAAAATATACCATTCGACGCACCTGAGCGAGGCAAACACGATGCTGTCAAAATCGAGGCCCTGCGGCATTTTTGGTTGAAATGATTAATAAAAAAACGAGTCCGTGCCCTGGGTCACTTGAGGTAAACCCAGAGGTGACAGGTTGACTTGAGACCTTAAAATCGGATAATAGTCGCTGCGTCTCGTAACGGCGCACACGCTCGTTTTCTTCTGCGAGGCTCTAGCTCCATCAGGGGCGAAACAGCGGTGTTGACCTCGGGTCAAGGTCAGGTCAGGGCCCTCAGGTCACGAAGCTGGTCAAATGAGGTCAGATTGCATATCATCCGATTCGGCAGGTCTTCCTGAGTCCATTGGTGGCTTTTCCGACTCGGTAGCTCAATTTGATAGGGAGTTACTGACGAAAAACCCTTATTACCCTTTTGACGTCATAAATGACGTCACGAAAGGTGACGGCGGTTGTAGTTGTAGCTGACCGCTTGTAGTTGACCTCTCATGATGCCCAATACGCTTCTTTCAGTTTTGTGGCACAACCTCAACTAGGGGCAATCACCAAGGTCAAGTTGTTCGCCCGGGCAGAAAATTCCAATAAAGCTTTCAACTAAAAAAATAAAATAAAATATGTTAAAAAATAACCTATCTTCCAAAATTCTACCACGCAAAGGAGACTTGTAAAAGTTACCTTTTCAAGAGAAAAAAGCAAAAAAAAAATACTTCCCTCTAATAAAGATCACGTCACGTGACCTGAGGTCACGTGGTTACGAGGTCAAACACGAAAAATTGTAAAAACAAGGGTGTTGATTTATTACGGAGCGAGCGAAGCGAGCGGAGTCTTTCCTTAGATTAACGGAAATTTCTGAGTATGAGCGGCTCTTCAAAAGCTAATATCTTAGGAACGGGACATTCGATTGACAAGCGGTCTTCTTTACTGAATGTCACTTGGACGTAAAAGTTCTGTGGTGTGATGGCCACCATGCGTTCTTGCTAACCACCGCACGTGGCGCGTGGTAAAGTTGGACATTTTTAAGAACCCCCAAAATTGCAACCTCAATAACGGCACAACGGTTGGGCCGATTGAATTGAAACTCGGTACACAGTTAGGTCTCCATCAGATAATTCATCTGCATGTGTTAAGGTTGGGGTGCTGCTGCACGTGCGCACGTGCAGGGGTCGTTTCCAGATCTCGAGAACGGCTGGACCGATGGCGCTCAAATTTGGTACACGGTTAGGGACCAGTTAGTAGGGTGCCGTGCACAAGTCAGTTGGGACCCATTTTGCACGTGCGCACGTGCAGGGTGCCACTTCCAGATCTCGAGAACGGCTGGGCCGATTGTGCTCAAATTTGGCACATCGCTAGAGACCGGTTAGTAGGGTGTCGTGCACAAGTCAGTTGGAGGTACCCCCTCGAAATTTCGCACGTGCAAGGCCCACCCTCTCGCTCGCTCCGTTAGTCGCCCCATAAGGCGTTATACTGGTTGCTATGTTCATTGTGAACACATCTATACCTTAATGCCTTGCATTTTCGCTTTATTTCACTTCGATAGGTATAAGCCATCAACTATCGTCATGTTTCGTGACCTGTGAGAAATGCCGGAGGCTATAACTCCGTAATGCTTGCTCCAATCAAGCTGAAACTTGCAGAGCTGAAATCAGCACATCAGATAACCCTCGCCCATTTAGGGTTGATGGAACCCCCCCCCCCTGACGTTTTTCTTAGCTACACGCCGAACCATTTCAGATAGCCTGCTCAAATTTTCAGTACCCTCTGGGGCGTCCGTTGCGCAACTTTGGTATTTTTTTGTCAAGGTCATGTCAGGTCACGGAGTTATGACGTCATAAAGGGAACAACCTCCGGCCAGATTTACGCTAAATTGGAGATTGCTTCACATTGGTATAAATGCCGACTGACCTGACACACTGATGGATTGTTTTAGAATCACTGAATCACAACTGACTGATTTGACATTGGCACAATGTCCGTTGACATTTTGAAGGTTACTAAACGTCAAGGTAAGGTCAGTGACCTTTGTTGACCTGTAATGACTTCTTGCACTTGTATGCCTTTTTGGGGTATTTTGAAGCCCTGAATTCGAATATGGTATCCATTTCAGGCATCGTCGGTTGTTTCTTGTAGTTCATTTTGGGGTCAGAGTCAGGTCAGTGACGTCACACGCCTGACGTGACCCAGTGCACAAATGACCTCGCAGACTTCCGATGCTCCCAACGCATCATTTTTAGAGTTATGACATCGAAATACACACCAAACGATAGAGAATTGATCAAGGATCACGATAGTGAAGGTTTCAAGTCGATATCTCTTACCGTTTTGCCGCAATCGGCGCGGAAATCTGAAAAAGTTAGTTTTTTTCCGAAAATGTGATCTTTGACCGGTCATAAGTAGGTCAAATGTTGAACTAGGACAAAAAATATACCACCAATCGCGAGATCTCGTTAAGAGCAATCCGTTGGTCTTTTCTGCTAAGCTCTACGACGCTCCGTTTTCAAACGCCAGGGGGGGTCGCACCAACCCAGTGGCGGATCCAGGGGGGGGGGGGCAAAATGGGCATTTGCCCCCCCCCAAACGGCATGATTTTAACATTACGCCTATGGACGATGCATGGAAAGAATCGATAAATTTTTTTATGGTTTGCCCCCCCCCCCCAAACCTCTGAGCTGGATCCGCCTCTGCACCAACCCCCTGCATGGGCGAAGGTGGCAAAACACCGTTTACGGGCGAGGGATAACCCTATGAACTTATTTTGAACAAAATCTTAGATGTACCGTGTTAATTTTCACTTTTGCTTGTCGATCTATCATGGAATGCCCCACCTGGTACTGGTGCGTTCCGTTGTGGTATTGTACATGGTACTGGTGCGTTTCGTTTTTGTACTGTAGGTAGGTACCTGGTACTGGTGCGTTTCGTTTTTGTATATACTGTAGGTAGGTACCTGGTACTGGTGCGGTTATTTGTTGTGTTGTACCTGGTACTGGTGTGTATTGTACGTACCTGGTACTGGTGCGTTCCGTTGTTGCACCGTACCTGTTACTGGTGTGTGTTGTAGTCACCTTCCTGGTACTGCAGGTGTGTGCTGTACTGTACCTGGTACTGCTTTGTGCCGCTGTTGAAGGGCTCCTCGCCGTCGGTGGCTCCCAGGGTGATGTTGTACACGCCCCAGCAGTCCTGCAGGTCGCGGCCGGCGCGGACCAGCGCCTCCTTGCCGCTGGTCTCCACGGTGAACAGCTGCTGGACGCTGTCCGGGCAGCCCGTCTTGCTGGCCGCGGTGTCCAGCAGCCGGTAGGTGAGCGTGGAGGCCGGGCTGTCGGCCTGATCAGCGTCCGAGGCGGCCACACCAACCAGCTGCGTGTCCGACTTGGTGGTCTCCGGCTCCTGACGGACAGGTCACGTCACAGAGGTCAGCCAGAGGTCACAGAGGTCAGTCGGAGGCCACAGCGGTCAGTCAGAGGTCGCAGAGGTCAGCCAGAGGTCACAGAGGTCAGTCAGAGGCCACAAACCTCAACCGAAATAGACAAGAAAATGACAGACAAATCCATTCAGGTACGAACAAACAAGTGTCAAAGCTCTAGCTATTTCAACGAGGCTTCCTCAGCTACAATTACGTAGTCCCTCCCCTAGTCACGTCCTTTACATTATGTCCACACTTTCGTCGGTGAGGTAATAAGTCCCCTGGTCAAACCCGTAGCATTATGGCCGCACTCACGGCGCTGAGGTATTCATCCCCCGGTCGTGTCCCCAGTTTAGTGTTTGTACTCACGGCGCTGAGGTAGTTGCCAGGTCGTGTCCCCAGTTTAGTGTTTGTACTCACGGCGCTGAGGTATTTATCCCCCGGTCGTGTCCCCAGTTTAGTGTGTGTACTCACGGCGCTGAGGTATTCCTAGCTCGTGTCCCCAGTTAAGTGTTTGTACTCACGGCACTGAGATATTCCCCGGTCGTGTCCCCAGTTTGGTGTTTGTACTCACGGCGCTGAGGTATTCCCCGGTCGTGTCCCCAGTTTAGTGTTTGTACTCACGGCGCTGAGGTATTTGCCGGGTCGTGTCCCCAGTTTAGTGTTTGTACTCACGGCGCTGAGGTATTTATCCCCCGGTCGTGTCCCCAGTTTAGTGTGTGTACTCACGGCGCTGAGGTATTCCTAGCTCGTGTCCCCAGTTTAGTGTTTGTACTCACGGCGCTGAGGTACTACCCGGTCGTGTCCAAAGTTTAGTGTTTGTATTCACGGCGCTGAGGCATTCCCCGGTCGTGTCCCCAGTTTAGTGTTTGTACTCACAGCGCTGAGGTATTCGCCGGTCGTGTCCCCAGTTTGGTGTTTGTACTCACGGCGCTGAGGTATTTATTCCCCGTTCGTGTCCCCAGTTTAGTGTTTGTACTCACGGCGCTGAGGTATTTATTCCCCGTTCGTGTCCCAGTTTGGTGTTTGTACTCACGGCGCTGAGGTATTTATTCCCCGTTCGTGTCCCCAGTTTGGTGTTTGTACTCACGGCGCTGAGGTATTTATTCCCCGTTCGTGTCCCCAGTTTGGTGTTTGTACTCACGGCGCTGAGGTATTTATCCCCCGGTTGTGTTTCCAGTTTAGTGTTTGTACTCACGTCGAAGAGGTAGCCGTCCTGGTCGGGGAACTGGGGAGGCGAGTCATTGTCGTCCAGCACCGTCACCCGAAGCAGGTTCTCCACCTTGTGGGCGCAGTTGCCGTCCTCGTCACAGAAGTCGCCGGCAAACACCTGACGTCACACGCACAGAGTGAGGTGACGTCATCTACCTACAAACACCTGACGTCACACACACAGAGCGGGTTGACGTCATCTACCTACAAACACCTGACGTCACACACACAGAGCACTGAGCAGGGTGACGTCATCTACCTACAAACACCTGACGTCACACACACACAGAGCGGGGTGACGTCATCTACTTACAAACACCTGGCGTCACACACACAGAGCGGGGTGACGTCATCTACCTACAAACAACTGACGTCACACGCACAGAGCGGGGTGACGTCACCTACCTACAAACACCTGACACCGACAGACGCCTGACGTCACAGAGGGGAATGACGTCACCGACAAACAGCTGACGTGACACGGAGAGAAAGTAGTGACGTCACACGTCAACATCTTGCGTCATACAGAGGAGGTGAGGTCAGCGGTAAACACCTGGTCTTCATAGACTCTAGTGATCCTAATTCATTGTTTTCGAATTGCGACCACCACTCTCCTGGGCGTGGCCGGCGCCGTTTAGTGACGCTGTCGTTTAGAGTGACGCCGCCGCAGTTAAGTCTCTAACCTGGATGGTCATGACGAAGTTCTGGTCGGCCAGCACCTCCCTGTCGAGGTGAGCATCTTTCTTCACGGAGATCTCGCCCGTCTCACCGTCCACGGTGAAGTTCTTCATGGCGGCGGCACTCAGACTGTATGTGATTTTGTTGTACTCTGTACGGGGGAAAATGGTCAGAAAAGGAAAAATAGAAGAAAAATAGCATAAATAGAGCCTGGCTGGTTGCATTGGTGGCATTCATTGCATATGTACACTGTTCGCGGGACAGCCCGGCTGCGAGTCACTGCGGACCTGCACCCCGAGCGCACGGCACGCGACCGATTCACAGGTATACCGGCGAACCAAAGGCAAAACGTACCGGTGAACACGGTGAAAAGGGCACGGCAGATTGACGGTGACCGGCGGCTCTCTCGGGTCCAGCGTGCTCCCCCCTCTCTGTCTCTCCCTCTCTCTCCCCCTCTCTCTCTCTGTCTCGGCTGACCTGGACCGTCGTCGATGTCTGTGGCGGTCAGGGTGTAGACGGCGGCGCCCTTCACGTTCTCTGTGACATTGAGCCCATCCACGTCACTGGGAACCTCCAGCCACTCGGGACCGTTGTCGTTCTGATCGAGCACAACGATCGAGATCTGCGGCCACACAGAGGGGTGTCAGTGACGTCACAGTGACGTCAGCGGGGGCGTCAGTGACGTCACAGCGACGTCAGCGGGAGCGTCAGTGACGTCACAGCGACGTCAGCGGGAGCGTCAGACAGGTCAGCCGAACGCCAGGGACGTCAGAAACGTCACAGCAACTGACGTCAGTCAGCACAGCGACTCTACATAGACGTCATAGACGACTCTATAGAGACATCAGCGTTGGACGGCAAAAACTAGTTCAGCTGGTATATCTTGGAGCGACTCCCGTCTCGTTAGTGGCTCACCTGTTAATAAAAGCTCCTTTTTCAGTTGTCCTCTAAGCTCCTCAGATATCACCTTCCCTGAGATGAGCCACGGACCGTGCCATGGACGCGGGAACCGTGGGGGCAATGGGGGCATGCTGCCCCCACAACTGGAAGGCTGTGGGGGCGATGCCCCCACAACTAAAAGGCGTGGGGGCAACGCCGCCCCAACAACTTTACTGAATATTTTCGCTAAATATTGCTTTTGTTTAAGTTTTAAAATACATGTCTTTGGTAATTTTCAAAATAAAGTGGCCCAATGCGAAAATAAAAATGGGGTAGCTTTGTTTTTTGGACCCAAATTGCCATCCCCACCACGGCTGGATAAAATGGAATGAAGGCAAAAATAGGTGAGCCGACGAAATTTACTTAGCGTAAAAAATTCATATTTGGTAGCTCTGATATGGTGGCGTTTCTATCATTTCCATTAACCCTCGCCCCGTTGGGGGGGCCATTTTGGCCCCCCCCTGTGGTTTTTCCTGAATAGCAAAAAAACGGCGGCGCGCAGCGCCGCCAAATTTTCAGTACCTTCCCGGGCATCAATTTGACACCTTCACACCAAATTTCAAGTCTTAGGTCACCTTAGGTCAGGAGTTATTGAGGTCAAACTGAGGTCATGTTCGAGCAAAAATGAGCAAAAAACATGCAATCTTGAAACGCTCACCAAATCTACAGTTATCAAGCAATTTCAAAGTTCTTTATATGGTCTAGTAGACAAAAGGCGGCGCTACAAAACTGCTATCTCGGATTTTCAAAATTTTTGGTTTTTGACCAAAAAAAATAAAAAAATTGATTTTTTTAGAAAAACTTTGAAAAAATCCATAATTTTTCCGAATTTCGAAAAAAACCGGAATATATGTGATAGTCCCAGCGCTCTTCTATATACATACCAAATTTCAGATCGATATCTCGTTTTTTGGCCAAGCTATAGCGAAAAAACTGTTCAAAAATGATGACGTCAAATTTTTGAACTCAATTTTTAGCAATTCTAGACCTCGTACGGCAAAACAAAGACCACCATTGAACTCCCCGTGACGAGCTGCATCGATTCGATACCCATTTTATGCAAAAATATTAACTTTGAAATTTGACCTAATTTGACCTGACCTTGACCTGACCTTGACCTGACCTTGACCAAAACGTGATCTAAGCTGGCCCCAAAGGCTGCCTGACCCATATAATCGCATTTGTCATGTAAAATGGACCATAAAACATGTATCACACGACACTTTCATATTGTGACCCCCCCGTGACCTGACCTCTGTGACCTGACCTGGTATCAGTGACCTCAAATGGCAAAATATGTGTTTGAAGAACATTTCCCCATCGATGATTTTCAATGAAATGCATTTTACTCGATTTTACAACGCATTTCTTGAAGTGCCTGTAAACGGTGAAAATTGGACCTTTGACCTGACCTGTGACGTCATCGGTTTGACCTAGGTCAATAAAATTGGGTCACAAGGTAGTTCCCCGTTGGGGCTATCCAACACCGTTTACCGCTTGTCGCTATGTTGCGTGGTTCTCGAGATCTTAGGGGGGGGGGCCAAAATGCCCCCCCCCCAACCGGGCGCGTTGCTCGGCAGAGCCCAACGGGGCGCGGGTTAAAGTGACCATCTTACCTAACATTAGTTTTGAGTTGATATAGCCATATTGGGGTCCCTAGCTTGCAAGTGCCGATTTGGGCACTCACAACGAGAAATGTTTTAATTCAGAAATATTTAATTTCAAAGTCAACAGTTTTTGAATTTTAAGGGGCATGCATTTAATAATGCATGCCCCCTTCGACGGCGCAGAGATGAGGTCTGCAGCAATTTTATTATTTTATACGTTTTTGTTCTCAAAACTATTTGATTACGTTATTCGACATTTTGCGAAATGAAGTGGTCTAAATCCGAGGAGGAAATTTAATTTGAGGTACCTTGGTTTTGTCACCGGAAACGGTCTCAGCCACAGCCATGGCCCTTGCCTTGCCCCCACAACTTCAAACTAGTTGCCGCGTCCCTGGACCGTGCTAAGTTTGTCGTCTGTTCTCAGTTCTGCTCAGGTCAACAGACCCGGTGGCCGGCCTCCGCGCCACCCGCCAGCCGCTGGATGGGAGGGTGGGGGGCTACTCGTTACCCCCCTTATGTCTCCATTGATATCGTTCCAATGCGGAGAGGTAGATAAGCGAAACTTTGCACACATATTCCTGAATAATTAGCCGTAGTTCCGTCAAAATTTGGTGTCGATGTCATTTGAAATTGCCTCACAGTGACTTCGGAAGTCCAATTATAGATTGGCGTTACTTGTTGAGCCGAGTTTCCGATAGTTTTCCGATTCTTAGTTTCGGACCGATGACTGGTCAGGAACTAGTTGAAAATGTACTTAGATGTGTCAGGAGGAAAGCAGACGCTGTGAAGTTCATTTGCCGTTACTTCAGATGCCCCTGATGCTCAGTGACATCAGAAACGCTTATCGAAAAACATTGACAATTTATGACGTCACTGTGACTTTTTTTTTTATTCAGGCCTCCCTCCAACGGGCACTTGTGGCCCAATTACAGGAGGGCTCCTCCTCCTCCTGGCCCTTGTTCCCCCACCCCCCCAGGCTACGGCTGAAGTGGGAGCCTACCCCACACCTGGTGACACAGCCGGGGACGACGCCCGCGGAACGGGCGGAACCGGGAATCGAACCCGAAACCCGGCACCGCCCGCACCGCGGGTCGACGCCTTAACCGACTGCGCCACCAGGACTTCATCTTGAGTTCGCTTAAATATGGCCTAGATATTATTTTGAAGCTACACCAATTTTCAAGTTCATACCTTATCAGGCTTTGGAGATATCACATAAAACCTAACCCTCGCGGGCCGTTTGGAATGTTTGGAATGCTGGGTGCATGAATCGTCTGTGACTCGTGTACACGTTTGATGAGCGCTATTTTAGGACATATTTTTAGATAGTTTATGTGTTCGTCTTTTTTACAACTTGTATTGACGAGAGGGCAGAAAAGCCATGTTTTATGGAGCTCTTAATAAACCTGACTATGACTATGACTATGACTATGGCCCGGGGGGGCGTTTTTCGCCCCCCCCCCCCTGGCGAATATTTGCGATAGCTCTCGAACGCTTAGGGATAGGAAAACGAAACTTTCAGTACTTTTTCTCCCATCAATTTGACATCTTCTAAAGTAAAACAATTGGACCCAGCCCCCTTCATGACGTCAAAAGGTCCATTTTTCTAGACCCCTGCACGGCAAACTTCGGCGTCACAGACGCAAACTTCAAATAGCTGCTAAAAATAGAGTTTTAGAGATAAAGACAAATTACGAGCACGGTTGTGTAGCGTCTGACCTAGAGAAAAATAGAAAAATACTTTTGGTGACCTGAGGTCAGAGGTCAGGACAACGACCCCGAAATGTGGTTTTAGTTTTTCGCAAAAAAAGTTCGACAAAAATTGTCCTAGAGCTACGGCAAAGGTACAATCGAATTCGCCTTGTCCAGCCGCGTCGAATGATATATATTTTGTTCGGATAAGGTCAAGTTTTATGTTGACCTCATGTGACCTCGAATGACCTCTGGTTGACCTTGACACAGTTAAGGTCATTTATGATGGATTTGTACCCGCTGATCACGAATCTGGTATCTATTTTCCTCTTAACCTTCATTTAGAGCTTCCGGATGGCAAAATTGTCTTATTTATAATTACTAACTTGAATCAGTGAAATAGCCTCTAGCAGGGATACTCTTCTGTGACCTTGACCTTTGAGCAGCCTTGCATCGTAAGATGAACCACAAATAGGGAACTGATAAGCCTCAAAACATTTCAAAACATCTTGGAAGTTAGCACGCAAGATGTGCGAAAAAGTGCCAAGTTTGAGGTCAATTTTGAGCGTGACCTTGACCTTGATCCTTAATTTTGAGAACATTTTCGGAATCCTCAGATTCTGTTCTTTTGTTTGACACCCAATTTTGCCGGTTTGATGCAGCCTGCCGTCCTCTAGAAGGCTTACTTTGAGATCACTACACATGTGCCGGTTTTTGCCTTTGACCTTGACCTCTGACCTTGAAAATTGACCTGAGGTCAAAAATTTTAGGTGCTTTAGAATCGTCTCGTAAGGAACTTTCTTTTGGTATCGCTTTTGTTTCCGTAGCTCCCTTATTTACGGAGTTAGACAGGGGGGCGAAAAACGCCCCCCGGGCTGCGGTGGTTGGGATTACTCCCCGGACCCGGCCGGGCTAATGGACGGGCTACCTTATGCCCCCCCCCCCCCAGCGGCTCATGGGTTAAGTTTCCCGATTCACGAGGCGAAGTGTCTCATCTCAGTTGAATGTCTCACCTGAGTTGAATTGTCCCTCGAAGGCACGCCGGCGTCAGTGGCCTTCACAGTGATGTCGATGGTCGGGTCCGTCTCGCGGTCAATGGAGCCGGACACAAACAGCTGGCCCGTGTTCGGGTCAATATCCACCAGACCACCTCCACTGGAGGACAGAGAAAAACGTGTCAATATCCACCAACCACCTCCACTGCAGGAGAGAGACGTGTCAATATCCACCAGACCGTCTCCAAGAGAGTGAGAGTGAGAGTGAGAGTGAGAGTGAGAGTGAGAGTGAGAGCGAGAGCGAGAGCGAGAGCGAGAGCGAGAGCGAGAGCGAGAGAGAGAGAGAGCGAGAGAAAGAGAGAGAGAGAGAGAGAGAGAGAGAAGAGAGAGAGAGAGAGAGAGAGAGAGAGAGAGAGAGAGAGAGAGAGAGAGAGAGAGAGAGAGAGAGAGAGAGAGAGAGAGAGAGAGAGAGAGAGAGAGAGAGAGAGAGAGAGAGAGAAACATTGATATGTTTCTCTCTCCTGAGCCTGAGCCTGTCCCGTAGCTCAGTTGGTAGAGCATCGGACTCCCGGTAGTGAGAGCCCGGGTTCGAGACGCTCCGGCGCTCGATATATGAGACTCCTGACGGGGATGGTCTGCGGTTGGTGGGAGCAGCCGCAGCCAGTTGAAGTCAGTTGAGTGGGACAGGCCGTGTCCGGCTTTGAAGGGCACGTTAAACTTTGGCATCTAAATTCTCCCGTTACCCGGAATTGCGCGATCGGACGGTAGGGGTCGGGGTCTACGCAACAAGCTCTGCTTAGCGTGGACTCCGGCTCTGTCAATCCGTCCATTCAAACATTCGAGCTAAATTTATAAAAAAAAAAAAAATATCCACCAGACCAACTGCGACAGAAAGTCTGCGAAGGAAGGCCCTTCAAAGGAGAGGAAGGCTGTGAAAAATGATGAGCAATGATAAGGCAGATTTAGGGCATTTAGGGATCACTCGGAAAAAGTCACAGTTTACATAAAATGCACACCATGGGCCACAGGGGATAAGGCGCCCTGACACATTGTCAACGTTCCACTTGTGTCTAATGCATAGGGTAGCCTGGGGCAAGACGCCCCAGATAATTTATTTTGCTACATATCTCTTGTCCCACATCATCTGGAAGGTCAAATTTGTGCTCCATGCGTTCTTTGGACATTTTACTTTAAATTCCACCCCTCAAATTCATTTACTTATGATCGGACTCCCAGCTAGGAAGTGATTTTGAAACAACTGCAAATGGGGCATTTTACCCCAACCCCAGGGCAAAACGCCCCACGGCCTGGGGCAGGAAGCCCCATACTCAGATTAAACACGGTAGTTGAATAAATCTTATATGAGAGGTTGGTTAGACCTCTGGAGGCACGGCACTGAAGTTAGTACCTTCTATCCTATCAGGTGTTCAGTTATGACGCTATTGTATGAGCAGGTTTTTCACCTGCCTCATAAGGCCAAATAATAAATTATTGCAATGCAAATGTTAACAAAATACTTTCTTTGCCATCCAGTTGCTGAGAAAAATGCATATAAATGCATAAGAACTTACCCTTCGCCAGATGCCGAACATTAGAAAGTGGGTAGTCCGAACAACACGTGAGGTAAAATGCCCCATGGGGCTTTTTGCCCCGCGACCTTCTGGGGCGTTTTACCCCATTACGTAGTTCGGTCAGAGAACAACGCCTTGCGCTCCAGCAAGACATAATTTAACACGAACCAACCCGGCATTATAAGAGTTAGACAATAATTGTTCAAAATACATAAATAAAAGTCGTTAACCTGATGTGGACCACAAAAGAACGCCATGATGCATAATCGGACAACAAAACATAAAAATCACTCTAAAAACACATTTTTGGCTGTGTATTCCTCAAGAGTTATCACAATTTCTTTCCAGTCTGCTCAGATAATGATCATATAGTGCACGTTTTATTGAAGAGAGGATGTTTCCCCAGAACCTTGCCAGTTCCGAGAAACATCGGTGAGGCGTTTTACCTCGGCGGGGCGACTTGCCCCGGTCTACCATACAAGGGAAGTTCGATCCTGCTATGAAGGTATTGTTCAATGTTCATTGTCCAACTGTATGAGATGAAAATACTCAACGACCGGATCAGAAATCTATAAAAAAAAATCTACCGTGTCTGATAGAGCTCTCAGGTGTAGGAATCCAACGTGCCCTCTCCCTAACGCTGTAGGTTTAGTGGCGGGCTCCTGTGACGCTGAAAGTGCTGGAAGCGGGTTCCTGTGACAATGTATGTAGGGATAGGATGGTGGAAGGCTCCTCTCACCCTCCCAGCCAGCAATCCCAAATGGGGCGCACATGGGCTGGAAGTGGGGAATCTGCGAATATGGGCTGGGCTACATCTGGGTATGTTATGGGCATCCAACTGGGTCCCAGATTTGCTAAATGGGCTAACTTTACGTGCTAGACTTGGCCAGCGCCTCCACTGTGCTGCTACCCTGCCTGATCTGTGCCGCTACCCTGCCAGACTCCTGATCTGACAGCCGCCTGGGCACACCCCTGCCCGTGTCCCTGCGAGCAGTAGCGGCGGAACACCTTCAATTAAGGGAGGAGGGGGGCGCTGCCGACTTTTGGTCCCATTCTTTCCATGCAACGCCCATAGGGCTAATGTTAAAATGCCAAAATCAAAGGAGGGCACGGTGCCCCGGTGCCCTCCCCGTTCCGCCGCCTATGCCTGCGAGGTCGCTGATAATGTGTCGCCGGCGTTTGTTGTGTGGTGGGGCGGCCGCGGGGCGGCCGCGCTGGCAGTTGGTGACTATAAATAGACGCAATACGGCGCTGACGGACCGCTCGGGCCTTTACACTATTGTTAAAAAGTCTTCTCCTTTTTCACACTAGGTACGCTACGCATCCACGCTTCCATTCTCTACCGGCCGCCGGCCGCCTACCTGCAGTGGTAGCGTAGTGTAGTGGTTAGGGTCCCCGCATCATGTTCCGTAGGTCTTGGGTTCGAATTTCTGGGGATCTGGTGAGAGGCAAGGGGTACGCGGTTCTACCACGTGCGACCACATTTTTTTTTTTTTTGATTCGCGCAGAAATAGTGGACGACATAAGCTTAGGTACCAAATTCCAGTTAAAATCCATGTGTGCTTTTTGCATGTGTCTGTGAGTCCCCACTGGGAAAGCCTGTGTGGGACCCATATACATACATATATCCCAACTGGGTCCCATATGGGCCCCACTTGGGCTGCCCATGTGGGTCCCAACTGGGAAAGCCCATATGGGGCTCAATATGGCCCCAGGTGGGTCCCAAATGGGCCCCGTCTGGGGTGCCCAGATGGGTCCCACATGGGCCCCGTCTGGGGTGCCCAGATGGGACCCAGTTGGACGCCCATGACATTCCCATCTGGATCCAAGGTGGGGAGCCCAGATTGGTCCTAGTTTGGTGCCCACTTGGGGCCCATGTGGGCCCCACTTGAGAAGGCTGGCTGGGCTGTGAACCTGTAGGTGGTGGTGTCGGGTTCCTGTGGTGGTGGTGGTGGCGGTTCCTCTCACCCTGTGACGCTGTAGGTATGGTGGCGGGTTCCTGTGATGGTGGCGGGTTCCTGTGGTGGTGGCAGTTTCCTGTGATGGTGGTGGGTTCCTATGGTGGTGGCGGGTTCCTGTGACGCTGTATGTGATGGTGGCAGATTCCTGTGATGGCGGTGGCGGTGCCTCTCACCCTGTGAAGCTGAGGGTGATGGTGGCGGGTTCGTCTCACCCTGTGACGCTGTATGTGATGGTGGTGGCGGTGCCTCTCGCCCTGTGACGCTGTAGGTGATGGTGGCGGCGCCTCTCACCCTGTGACGCTGTAGCCTGTAGGTGATGGTGGTGGGTTTCTCTCACCCTGTGACGCTGTAGGTGATGGTGGTGGGTGCCTCTTACCCTGTGACGCTGTAGGTGATGGTGGTGGCGGTGCCTGTCACCCTGTGACGCTGTAGGTGATGGTGGCGGTGCCTCTCACCCTGTGACGCTGTAGGTGATGGTGGCGGTGCCTCTCACCCTGTGACGCTGTATGTGATGGTGGTGGGTTTCTCTCACCCTGTGACGCTGTAGGTGATGGTGGCGGTGCCTCTCACCCTGTGACGCTGTAGGTGACGGTGGTGGGTTTCTCTCACCCTGTGACGCTGTATGTGGTGGTGGTGGCGGTGTCTCTCACCCTTTGACGCTGTATGTAGGTGATGGTGGTGGCGGTGCCTCTCACCCTGTGACGCTGTAGGTGACGGTGGTGGGTTTCTCTCACCCTGTGACGCTGTATGTGGTGGTGGTGGCGGTGTCTCTCACCCTGTGACGCTGTATGTGGTGGTGGCGGTGCCTCTCACCCTGTGACGCTGTATGTGATGGTGGTGGGTTTCTCTCACCCTGTGACGCTGTAGGTGATGGTGGCGGTGCCTCTCACCCTGTGACGCTGAGGGTGACGGTGGTGGGTTTCTCTCACCCAGTGACGCTGTATGTGGTGGTGGTGGCGGTGCCTCTCACCCTGTGACGCTGTAGGTGATGGTGGCGGTGCCTCTCACCCTGTGACGCTGTATGTGGTGGTGGCGGTGCCTCTCACCCTGTGACGCTGTATGTGATGGTGGTGGGTTTCTCTCACCCTGTGACGCTGTAGGTGATGGTGGCGGTGCCTCTCACCCTGTGACGCTGAGGGTGACGGTGGTGGGTTTCTCTCACCCTGTGACGCTGTATGTATGTGGTGGTGGTGGCGGCGCCTCTCACCCTGTGACGCTGTAGGTGATGGTGGCGTTCTCGTCTATGTCCGTAGCCAGGATCGGCTGGTTGATGATGGACGTCTTCGGCATGTTCTCTGTGACGTTGAAGGTCCGGTCAGCCATGTCTTGAAACTGGGGACTGTTGTCATTCACGTCCAGGATTTTGACCGTGAGATCACCTGAGGGCGGGCGGCAGCGGCGTCAAACTAATCACTGTCGGTGCACCTTACGGGGGAGAGAGGGAAGGCGGCAGCGAAATGTCGTCATGGGATGAAGAAGCATCTCTGACCTCGGGTTTTTTTGGGCGCCCGGACTACGTTGGTCATCGGCGCATCTCTGACCTAACGGGATTACTTCTCAGTTGGTGACGTCGGAGTCTGGATCTGAGTCTCTGTTTTCCATGGAAAACAAATATCAAACGCGCCATCATGAGCTTGTCCAACTAGATTGGGTATGATGTTCCAAAGGAGCGCGGTGTTTTTACTGCACTGGGTCCGTTTTCGGCCGGGTTTTGCCAGCTGGTGTGCCGGGTTTTGCCAGCTGGTGTGCCGTGTTGCGCCACTCGGCTGGTGTGCCGTGCTGCGCCACTCAGCTGGTGTGCCGTGTTGCGCCACTCGCCTGCGGCCTGGTCTGTGCCGGACTCCGTGGCGGTGTCGGTGACCACGACCCGCAGGGTGATGGTGTCCATCTGCTCCCGGTCCGGCGCCCCGGCCGGCGACACCCGCAGAGTGGCGGCTTTACCGCTGCTGTCCGCCGAGAGCTGAAACAGGCTGCGCCGCCACCGCACAGCGGGGCGTCAGTCACACTACAGCAGAGACAGCGCAGAACAGCACAGCACAGCACAGCGCTGACGTCACATTACATCAGCGACAGCACAGCAGCACAACACAGAACAGCACAGAACAGCGCAGCGCAGCACAGCACAGCGGGGTGTCACACTACACAGTGACAGCACAACACAACACAGCGCAGAGCAGCGCAGCGCAGCACAAAACAGCGCAGCGCAGCACAGCACAGCACAGCACCGACGTCAGAACACCGCATTTACGTCACACCATAGTACTGACATCGCACTGTAATGCTGATGTTACATCATATCAGTGATGTCAAATTACAGCACTGATGTGACATTCCTGGGCTACATAACAACAATGATTTCACATTGAAACACTGATGTCACATCACTACACTGACACCACGTAATAACGCCATTCTATCATCGGGTGACCAGTTAAGGCATTTGTAGTTGTTATATAACATGACGATGATGTCAATGCCGTTATATCTCACTTTGTTCCCTGAGTAATTGCAATATCCTCAGTGCCGTTACAACTCACCCTATGTAGTGGCTAGTGCCGTTACAACTCACCCTGTGCAGTGGCTAGTGCCGTTACAACTCACCCTGTGCAGTGGCTAGTGCCGTTACAACTCACCCTGTGCAGTGGCTAGTGCCGTTACAACTCACCCTGTGCAGTGGCTAGTGCCGTTACAACTCACCCTGTGCAGTGGCTAGTGCCGTTACAACTCACCCTGTGCAGTGGCTAGTGCCGTTACAACTCACTGTGTAGTTGTAGCACCGTCAGTGTCGTTATAACTCACTCTGTGTAGTCGTACTCGGTGCGGTCCACCTGGACATTGTCTTTGTAGGCCTTAGTGGCGTCCCAGTCGATGGAGAACTCCAGTTTCGCCATGCTGTCGGCGTCGTCGGCGGTGATGTGAGCCGGCACCTCGGCTCCTTTCGTCTCCTCCAGAACCTCTGCCGAGCCGCCGCCTACCTGGAGCAGCGGACACACCGCCCGATAATGCCGGCTGATCGCAGACTAACACAGAACACGGCGTGTACACAGCAGGAAGGCGCACCCGGATATATCGGCCGGCCGGCTGATCGCAGACTAACACAAATCAAGGCGTGTACACAACAGGAAGGGGCACCCGGATCGGCCGGCCGGCTGATCGCAGACTAACACAGAACACGGCGTGTACACAGCAGGAAGCGCACCCAGCGACTTACGTCCAGCGCAGTCTGCACCCAGCGACTTACGTCCAGCGCAGTCTGCACCCAGCGACTTACGTCCAGCGCAGTCTGCACCCAGCGACTTACGTCCAGCGTGGGCGGCGAGTCGTCCACGTCCAGCACCGCTACGACCAGTGTGACTGTGCCCGTGTTTCCGGTCCCGGTATCGTCGGCCGCCGTGATGGTGTAATTCAGCACCCTGTCCCCTGGAACGGGGGGCGGGGCGGGGTGTATGTGTCAGCACCCTGTCCCCTGGAACGGGGGGCGGGGCGGGGTGTATGTGTCACCACCCTGTCCCCTGGAACGGGGGGCGGGGCGGGGTGTATGTGTCAGCACCCTGTCCCCTGGAGCGGGGGGCGGGGCGGGGTGTATGTGTCAGCACCCTGTCCCCTGGAGCGGGGGGCGGGGGCGGGGCGGGGTGGATGTGTCAGCACCCTGTCCCCTGGAACGGGGGGCGGGGCGGGGCGGGGTGTATGTGTCACCACCCTGTCCCCTGGAGGGGGGGGCGGGGTGTATGTGTCAGCACCCTGTCCCCTGGAACGGGGGGCGGGGCGGGGTGTATGTGTCAGCACCCTGTCCCCTGGAACGGGGGGCGGGGCGGGGCGGGGTGGATGTGTCACCACCCTGTCCCCTGGAGGGGGGGGGGGCAGGGCGGGGTGTATGTGTCAGCACCCTGTCCCCTGGAGGGGGCCGGGGGTGCAGGCAGCTCGCGGCGGTGGGCGAGTACATACATGCCATTGGTGTCGACAGAACAGTGCCGCAGAACTCCCCCCATAACGTATAGCCCACGGCTAGGGGAGAGTGGGGCACATTCGTGCAAAAAATGGATAAACCCATATATCTGTTCTTTGGTTAGTGCAATGGCAGAATTGTTGATTGTAGTATGGAAAGGAACTATTGCAGATAGTTTTCCTCTTTAAAAGTTATCCTATAAAATTATTGTTTCCATTAGAAAAAATGACTTTTATTAACTCTGAACATTTGCACGAAACTGCCCCACCTATGGGGCACATTCGCTCAAGAGATGGGGCACTTCCGTTCACCCGGCAAAATTCGAGAAATTACCGGGCATTACCAGAAATTTACCAAAGGAAATTGGCAGGGGGTCATTTCACTTGATTCCTTTCGACAAGAATGCATTGCACAACAAATGTAGAAAGAATGGGCTGGCCAACAAGAATGTGCCAACTGCCGGCCTCCGTGACCTCGCCAAGTTCGCGTGAATTGCTCGTCACGACGTCGCAAGTAGTCGAGACTGAGTCAGGCGAGCGTCATTAGAGAAACCTACTACAGATAAAGTCATAAATCGCAAAAACTAAAAAAAAATATGCACGAATGTGCCCCCAGGCAGTGCGTACACGAACCTGCCCCACAACGTTATTAGTAATATATTTCAAAATTTCTTTTTGAAAAAATGACACTTTTTCAACAAACAAGTTTGCAGCAGTTCCGTGAATAGAGTGGGCTTCTTCACCCCCAATTTTGAAAAGCTGAACCACATTTCCGAGTCAGGGTCACGAAAATGGATGATATGAGAAAAATTTGGAAAGTTCACGAATATTACAAATTTGCGTTTTTATCAAGCATGACAGCAGGTACAGTGTTGTCTTCTACGGTGAACGAAGGGCGGCAATGATAGACATATTTCCATAATTTACCTTGAGCTCGTGCAGTCACTCGTGTTCCCATAAACTGCCGAAAACGAATGTGCCCCATGCACGAATGTGCCCCACTCTCCCCTATATCATGGGAAACTCACCGTAAATGCATGTGCGGGCAAATCCCTTGGTATGGAAGTACATACCTACCTACTTTACAGCCCGTCGTCCACGTCTCTCTGTCATCAACGGCGTATCTCGCACCAATGATATGAAATTAAAAAAACAGTGCCACTGCAGCAGATTGACGAGCTTATTCGTCCCAGTGTTTCGGTACCAGTGGTCCCAGTGGTCCCAGGCCCAGCTGTCCCTCCCGGTCCGTACCGTCGCTGTCCCAGCTGTCCCTCCCGGTCCGTACCGTCTCTGTCCCTCCCGGTCCGTACTGTCTCTGTCCCAGTTGTCCCTCCCGGTCCGTACCGTCTCTGTCCCAGCTGTCCCTCCCGGTCCGTACTGTCTCTGCCCCAGCTGTTCCTCCCGGTCCGTATCGTCTCTGTTCCTCCCGGTTCGTACCGTCTCTGTCCCTCCCGGTCCGTACCGTCTCTGTCCCTCCCGGTCCGTACCGTCTCTGTCCCAGCTGTCCCTCCCGGAACGTACTGTCTCTGTCGAAATCGTACGGGGCGTCCCGGCTGACGGAGACGAGGCCCGTCTTCGGGTCGATACGCAGCGTGTTCTGCTTCCCTCCGGAGATCGAGTACCTGGCGAACACAAACAGAGCACATACAGAGCACAAACAGAGCACATACAGAGCACGGAAAGAACACGGACGGGACACGGATAGAACACGGACAGAACACGGATAGAACAGACCTATGTTATGTTGTGGCGTGCTGCAGTAGTGGATTACTACCCTAGAGACGGGGGCATAAGGTGGCACGGACACCTTAAATCAGTAGTGGAACACTAGAGACGGGGGCGTAAGGTGGCATGGGCACCTTAAATCAGTAGTGGAACACAAGAGACGGGGGCGTAAGGTGGCACGGACACCTTAACCCTCGCCGGCCGAGGGGGGGGGGGCGGGTGCCGCCCCCCCCATAGGGTTTTTTCGCGATAGCTCCGAACACGCTGGCAATAGAGAGCTGAAACTTGGCATACCTGACCTTTGATCCAAGCCGGATCTTTTGACACCAACCGCATTTTTGGGTCAGGTCAGGTCACTGACCTATGACGTCATAAGTGAACCTCTGCACGGTCTTCAGATGTCGCAAATTCGCAACGCCCTCACTGCCAGAGGAGATGTCACAGGGAAATGAAACTTGCAGGATCTAGTATCCATTATGAGTCCCACAACTTGCATATCTCGGATTTTTCCTAAAGGTCATATGAGGTCAGGTCATTTTCGTGACCTCACCATTATAAGTCAATGGGGAAAAATTCAAACTGCTATTCTGGCGCCGGGAACGACCTCCAACTATCTCAAGCACACAGAATCGTGATTTGATGCACTCCTTGCAAGGTTAGATGCGTCACTTTTGCAATGTTGACCTTGCGTGACGTCATTTATGACGTCATCAAGGTCATATTAGTTTTTCGTCAATAACTCTTGATCAAATTGAGCTAGCGAGTCGGGAAAGCCACCAATGGACTCAGGAAGACCTGCCGAATCGAATGATATGCGACATGACCTCTTTCGACCAACTTCGTGACCTGGGGGTGCTGACCTGACCTTGACCTGAGGTCAACACCCCAAGTTGACCTGACCCGGACAAAAAGTATATCATTCGACGCGCCTGAGCGAGACGAACACGATGCTGCCAAAATCGGCGCACTGCGGCCGTTTTTTGCGAAGTTATTCACCAAAAACTGAACCGTACCTTGGGGCACTTGACCTGACCTCAGAGGTCACCGGTTGACCTAGGACCTTAAAATCGGGTACCAATCTCTGCGTCTCGTAACGACGCACACGCTCGTTTTTTCCGCGACGCGCTAGCTCCACCAGGGGCGAAACGGCGAGGGGGGGTCGTACCCGCCCCCCCCCCCCTCGGCCGGCGCGTATGTAGAAAACCAATAGGTCCGGCGAGGGTTAAATCAGTAGTGGAACACTAGAGACGGGGGCGTAAGGTGGCACGGACACCTTAAATCAGTAGTGGAACACAAGAGACGGGGGCGTAAGGTGGCACGGACACCATAAACCAGTAGTGGAACACAAGAGACGGGGGCGTAAGGTGGCACGGACACCATAAACCAGTAGTGGAACACAAGAGACGGGGGCGTAAGGTGGCACGGACACCTTAACCCTCGCCGGACCTATTGGTTTTCTACATACGCGCCGGCCGAGGGGGGGGGGGCGGGTACGACCCCCCCCCCCCTCGCCGTTTCGCCCCTGGTGGAGCTAGCGCGTCGCGGAAAAAAAAACGAGCGTGTGCGCCGTTACGAGACGCAGAGATTGGTACCCGATTTTAAGGTCCTAGGTCAACCGGTGACCTCTGAGGTCAGGTCAAGTGCCCCAAGGTACGGTTCAGTTTTTGGTGAATAACTTCGCAAAAAACGGCCGCAGAGCGCCGATTTTGGCAGCATCGTGTTCGCCTTGCTCAGGCGCGTCGAATGATATACTTTTTGTCCGGGTCAGGTCAACTTGGGGTGTTGACCTCAGGTCAAGGTCAGGTCAGCACCCCCAGGTCACGAAGTTGGTCGAAAGAGGTCATGTCGCATATCATTCGATTCGGCAGGCCTTCCTGAGTCCATTGGTGGCTTTCCCGATTCGCTAGCTCTTTTTGATCAAGAGTTATTGACGAAAAACTAATATCATCATAAATGACGTCACGCAAGGTCAACATTGCAAAACTGACGCATCTAACCTTGCAAGGAGTGCACCAAATCACGATTCTGTGTGCTTGAGATAGTTGGAGATCGTTCCCGGCGCCAGAATAGCAGTTTTCATTTTTCCCCATTGACTTATAATGGTGAAATGACCTGACCTCATATGACTTTTGGGAAAAATCCGAGATATATAAGTTGTGGGACTCATAATGGATACTAGATCCTGCAAGTTTCATTTCCCTGTGACATCTCCTCTGGCAGTGAGGGCGTTGCGAAGCTACGACATCTGAAGACCGTGCAGAGGGTCACTTATGACGTCATAGGTCAGTGACCTGACCTGACCAAAAAATGCGGTTGATGTCAAAAGATCCGGCTTGGATCAAGGGTCAGATATGCCAAGTTTCAGCTCTCTATCGTCAGCGTGTTCGGAGCTATCGCGAAAAAAACCTATGGGGGGGCGGCACCCGCCCCCCCCCCTCGGCCGGCGAGGGTTAAACCAGTAGTGGAACACTAGAGACGGGGGCGTAAGGTGGCATGGACACCTTAAATCAGTAGTGGAACACTAGAGACGGGGGCATAAGGTGGCATGGACACCTTAAAGGGACCATCCCACCTTAACATTAGTTTTGAGTTGAGATAGCCAAGTTTGCGGCCAGGCTCAGAAACCACCATTTATCCTGGTCGCAACCCCTGCAGCTTTATGGTGTTCAAGAAATTTCTTCCCTTTACTTGCAGGGTGGGACCAGCTTAGTCCCTATCTCTTAACCATTAGCGGTTTGTTGATGACGTCAGCAGTCATTTCAACGCCCGCCATTCCTTGAACCCGAGTTTTGCTGACCTTGAGCTCCCTTTTTTATCAACGTGAAATCCGCGTCGTCGGCGCTGAGAAAGCCTATTGCTTTTCATTTTAATTTGAATATTAGAAGATACCCACCACTGGAACTTGGACTGATATTATACCAAGGCCGAAGATGATCAAGCTGCCTGCTATGTCTGGAGCTTGGTGTTCAACTTCAACATGGAATGAAAAACAAAATATCAAAGCAAACTGGATATGGTACTGCAAGTTTAAGTCCAAAGAAATTTGAAGAGCTGACAATTGACATTAATTCTTTTCCCGCAAGGTTTCCATAGGAGATCACACCATGAAGAAATATTTTTGATGTTAACAGTTGAAAGGGGATTGATCTTCCAGTTTTGACGAAAGACGCTGCTGACTGTCTTTGGAAAAGGATGTCGGCATGAGGTGCAATTGTGCTTGTGAAGTGGTTATAACTGGTCTTTTCACAGTGTTAAATTAAATGTGCCATTGCAGCCAAGTGTGTTATCATGTAAGGTAAAATCAAAACTACAATGTTGGTTTTACGAGCATTGAGAAGGCTGGTAGGTAACACCTGCCTGTGCTCGTAAATCATGCTGCCAAAGTATTCTAAATTAATTTTATCATACACTTTTGTTGTCCAGAATGGTTGCACTATTGTTTGGTATCATATTATTCCATGTACATATGGTAGTGTTAAGTCCGACCAACATGTTACCAGATTTGAAGCTGTTACGTTACCTAAGTACCTACCTGTTTTTTTACTGGCGTGGTGAATGTCACCTGGATTTTGTTTTGAGGTGCAGACCTAGTAACTCTGACTACATGGGTTTGAAGCTATTATCTATTCTGTTTTTACTGGCCTGGTGAATGGCGACTGATGTTGTCCGTGGATGGCACTGAAACAAATTTTGAGTGTCAACTGCCATGTACAGTGTTTTAATACAATGCTGAGGGCTGAAAGTTGTCTTGTTTAGAGTGGTGAAAGTTCAGGATATGCCAGCCACCATGGTGGGTCAGAGTTAATGTGTTGCAGTCAGTTCGGCTTCGGCAAGCACACGGATGGGCATACGCATCAAGACCTGCTCTGCCATACTTTCAGCCAATTTTACCTAGGCAAGTCTTTTCTTTTTTTCTGCCAAAAGCTATGACATTGTGAATTTCAGTGCTGTGGCCTGTGTGTAGCTTTCAGGAAAGCAATTCTAAATAAAGCTCTGATAAAGTGCATGAAATCAGCAATGCAGCCCTCTATTACATTTTCTACAACATCTTACTTGTTCCTTGCATGGAGAGAAAAATGCAATGTTATGAATTCGTTTATTCACATAATTTGACAAGCATGCAGTTACCTGCTACTATCACTGCACAAAACAGAGCAGAAAACATCAGTTGATCAAACACAAGACACAACAGAAGTTTACAACATAGGCCTGCCGAACCTGCTTCCTCCCACCACAGTTGATGCCATTTCCTAGCCTGGCTTGATGTGAGCACTGAATAGCTGCTTTGTCTAATTACAGCTCACTACCATTCAACTTAAACTACTCTCTTTAAAGTAAGAGTGAGAGCGTTCAGTGTTCATAGCAGCTCGACAGACGACAGACAACAAACATCTTGACAAACCAACCAGTATTTGATTTGGCTAATGATTTATGTGCCTGTTGTATCATGGCCAAACTACTTTAACAGCAATAATCCCTGTTTCATCTTGATCTTGCTTTTAATTCCATTTGAACTCAGATCTTGAAACAATCATCTGAAGTGATATCAGATACTGGCTTCTGTTTCTCTTGAAAGCAAGTTAAAACAACAATGATAAACTAAGGCAGGAGATGTGAGTTGTGGCAGTAGATTTTTGATTCAACATATGTCAACCTTATATTGCTTGAGACCTCTGTGACAGACAAACAAATATTTATAGTTTTTTGATAGTTTGGATTCTTGGCTTGATTTAGCAGATCAGCTGTGAACCTTGACTTTGAAATCACATAAATGTCATGGTACCCGAACGAATCCTCGCATGACATTTCTTCGTCCGCATTTCTTCGTCTACAAATCTTCGTCGGTGCATTCATTTGTCCACCAATGCTTACTCTTGCATATATTTGCGTTGAAGAAGAAATGCGAGCCGATTTTCATATACCCTGATGCGAGACAAAGTAATGCGATACGAATAAATGCCCTGACGAAGATTTGCAGACGAAGAATTGCGATACGAAAAAATGCCATAAGAAGAATTGTCCTGGAATCCTTTGTTGGCCATCATATATTGACCTGATAAGATAAACGCATCATTCGCGCAATATTTGTCGCACTTTGATACCAAATTATTGCTTCCAAATGCCGACGTAAAGAAAACCTTTATGTGACGTCATAGAAACAGCGGAGCTCCCAAAAAGTAAACAAAAATAAAAGTCTTATATCTCGAAAACGGTTGAATATTTTCCGGTAAAATTTGGTAGATGTTCATTTTCGCTCTTTGTGATTCACGCTACATCACTTTTATGCCAATTCATTTACTTTTTTGAAGGTGGGAGGGTCCCTTTAAATCAGTAGTGGAACACTAGAGACGGGGGCGTAAGGTGGCACGGACACCATAAACCAGTAGTGGAACACAAGAGACGGGGGCGTAAGGTGGCACGGAAACCATAAACCACACGTCACCTGCTGGCACCATTTAACCCTCGCCCTGGCAGGGGGGTTGATGCAACCCCCCTAAGGTTTTTCGAGGATAGCGTAAAAACGGCGACGCGCAGCGCCGCCAAATTTGGCACAGCCTATGGGGCAACCTTTTTACATGTTACCTAAAAATTTCAAGTCTGGGTGACCTCGGTCAGGTCACTAGGTCAAAAAACCGGTACAGGTTTATGGTCAAATTTCAATTTTCTTTTTGCACCTGTTTAACTCACAGTTTTGGACTGATTTCCTTCAAACTTTCAGGATGTGCTAAGTTCACCGAGTTGTATAACATATAGTTCGTGTTTTTTGAGGTCACTGACCTGAGGTCAGTTAGAGGTCATTACGTCGTAATGTTAAGCCTATGGGAAAATACTAAATTCGGAAAATACTGGAGATATCGACTTTGTTCCATCACTTTTGTGCTTTGAAACCATAGTAATTAACAACAGGTCACTTGGTGCTTCTTTGTTTGGTGTACTTATCCATGGGTCAGGTCAAATGAGGTCAACTGAGGTCAAACGACGTTTTTGCCAATAACTTGGCACATAATGACGCTAGAGCTTACAAAATGGTGTCATTGTGTTCCTGGTGATTAGCCGAATCGAATGATATGCGATATGATGCAATTTGGTTAACTTGAACTTAATTAATTAATTAAAGTTTACTTAAAAATTAAGAAAAACTTGAAGTACACTTAAGCAAGCAAAAGGTATATCATCCGACGCGCCTTGACGTGCTGAGTTCACTGGTGCTTTTCTTTTTTCTCTATCTTAATTAGATCAAAAGTTATAAGCGAAAAACTTTTGACCTGTTTTTAGCGAAATTTTTACATTTATACCCCCCAAACCCCCCGAAATATTGACCTAAAGCAACCAAATTTGCACAGGGGCGAGAAATCCAGGGGGCTCACCTACCTACCAAATTTGGTGTTTCTAGGTGCCATAGGAGTCAATCGCGAGTGGGGTGGCATCACCCCCCCCCCCCTGCCAGGCCGTGTTATGAAAAATGCCCTGCCATGGCGAGGGTTAATCTGCGCCTACACCTGAGGGAGGCGTGCCGAAAAAACGGAGTGTGCATTGAAAATGCCTTACCTGATGCCGTCGGATCCAAAGTCAGCCGAGTCCTCATCGGTAGCGGCAACAGTTACAACAGTATCGCCCTCAGCGGAGCTCTCGTTGACGTTTGCTTTATACTCCGACGCTGAAAACCGATCAGAAACATTCACGCACATGATAGGCGTTCATGCACGTGGTAACAGACCAATAGCCTTTAAGTTAACCTCAACTGCTAAGCGCTATTCTGCCTGGCCTTGGTATAGGTGACTGTGTGTGTTTGCAAAGACTGTGTTTGTTTGTGTGTGTTTACACAATGAAATTGATCGATGTGTCACAACATCAGCCTACCCCGTTCCATTTAGGTTCTCATTTCATTTACTTTTTTTACACTTAATATTAACCCTCGCATGTGTGCGGCGTTTGCCAGCTTCTAATGTGTAGGGGGGGGGGGTCGGTGGGACCCCCCTTGCCGTTTGGCCCCTGATCGAGCTAGAGCTTCGCGGAAAAAACGAGCGTGTTACCCGTCACGAGAGGAAGCCGATGATACCCAATTTTAAGGTCCTAGGTCATTGGTTGACCTTCTAGGTCAGGTCAATGACCCAAAGTCGGGAAAATCGGGACCTATTAGAAAGTCGTAAAGTGTGGCTGCTAAGGGGGTTTTCGGGGTGCTGATCACGAATATCGTGTTAGTTTTGATCACAGATGATGTCTTTAAGCATTTAGACCAGGTCGGGTCAGGTCACGTCAGGTCAACCAGTAGGGGTTGTGACGGGTATTCGTAGTACGTGTCAACCGCCTCTGACAGCTTCGTAACATGTTACGAAGGCACCAAAACTACTTCGTAAATGTTCAATTGGTTGCTAAATTCGAACTCAGCTCCAAAAACTAGCCTAGAAACATGTAAAACTCGAAAAAGTGAACCGAGGTCACCCGAGGTCACCAAAGGTCAATGACCTGACCTGACCTTCAGGTGACCTTGACACCCATTCTAATGCATGGGAGCAACATCAAATCACATGTTTGAACGTTTGAAACCACGAAAAGCTTGCAAACGCGCGGCTAATGCGAGCCGACATACGCGGAATCGCAATTCCGGCCAAACATGGTCTCGGAAAAGAGGTCACAGGTCAAAGGTCATTTGGGTCAGGGTCATTAAATTTTCAGGGTAGGTGTAAAATTGAACAATGAGAGGGTACTGAAAGTTTCGTCGCGATCGGCCGCTTTTTACGCGAGTTATTTGCGAAAAACCATGGGGGGGTCCATCCGACCCCCCCTACACATGCGAGGGTTAACCCGCGCCCCGCTGGGCTATTCAGCCATACGCGCCCTGCTGGGGGGGGGGGCAGATTCTGCCCCCCCTGTCTAACTTCCGAACCGATGGTCGTAGAAAGACGGGGAAAACGGCAATCGAAAGCTCTCAACAAGGCGGATCTACAGAGCCCAAATTTTTTTGCTTAAGTAGGTCAGAGGTCAGGTCAAGGTCAGGTCAAGGGTACAAAATGCAAGTTTCTACAGTATCGGCCTTGCACCGTAGTTGCCGAAGAATGGACTGAGACTGATTGCCCAAAACGTGTTCTTAGACTACCAAGACAATATTCGTTGCACACAATGTCATTCAAAGGTCAAGGTCAAGGTCAGGTCAGGTCAGGTCAGGTCACCAAAAACAAAATATAGAAAAGGGCATGTGCGACACATGTTTTATGGGTCATTTTACTCATGGAATTCAATAGGCACACTCAATAAGTGACATGGACCACCTCTGGATGAATTTCAGGTCGAGGTCAGGTCAAGGTCAGGTCAAGTGAGGTCAAATTTTGAAGTTGGTTGTTAAGGCCTAAAAAGGTGTCTATCCGATGCAGTTTTTCACGGCGAATCGAATGGTGCTATTTTTGTTTCCGTACGAGGTCTAGAACTTCCAAAAAAAAATCATTTTTCAAAAAATTTGTGTGTCGTGACGTCATAAAATTTTGAATAACTCCCACATTTTTGAACCGATTCTTCTCAAAATTGGTATGTAGGTGCACATAGACCACTTCTTTGACATATATTCCGGTTTTTTTCGATAAACTCAAAATTTTGGATTTTATAAATATTTTCCCAAAAAAGTCAGTTTTTTGGAAAAATTTTGGCCAAAATCCAAAATTTTCAAAAAACCGAGATAGCCATTTGATAGACAAAGTAGAATCACGTATAACCTTTTTTGTTACGTCTTGATTCCTTTAAAAATGAAGAAGTTAGCGGCGTTTGAAATTTTGCCGTTTTTGAGGCGAAAATGGCGAACATGACGTCACTAAAACGTCAATTTCTCAAAAATTTTCCGACGGATTTCGCTCAAATTTTCAGGGAACGTGTCAAATTGATGTATGATAAGGTACTGAAAGTTTGACGTCGCTGGCGTAACGCGTTTAGAAGTCATTGGCGAAAAACGGGAGGGGGGCAGATTCTGCCCCCCCCCCCCAGCGGGGCGCGGGTTAAAACATAAATTTAAATCACATGGATAATTGTAGGGCATTATGCAAATCAAAAGCAGTCTCCAATGTCTAGTAGAATAATGACGCATTGGCACCTGCCTTTAGAACGATAAACAGACGTGTCAACCATTTGGAAGACAATGTGTGTGACGGTTGCGGAGATCTTCAGTAATCGCGGGACACTGGCGTTCATCCTGTCTGATGAAACTAGCCGTTTTCACGACGGGCTATCCGGCGAGTGCACCTTTTTTTGACCAAATCTGCACCCAATCTCTTTTACAGCAAATATCTTTATTTTATGAAGTTATTTCAGTGTTTTAATCGATGATTCTCTCTGATAATTAGACAAAGCATGCATATAAGCAATTAGTGTAACCCTAGCTGATAGCTACTAAGAGACGAAACACTGAACCTAATTTGACCAAATCTGCACCTAATCTGCACCAGATGTGCACCAAATGTGTACCAGACGATGGCCGTCGAGAAAACGGCTAATAAGTCTGCGGCTGCAGTTCGGCAAGTGTCGCTACAGGAGCCGGCTGGTGGCGGGTGCGGACTGGTGGAGTTTTAGTGGAGTTTTAGTGGGTTAGTGGAGGATTACCTGGGAACTGAGGGCTGTTGTCGTTCACGTCCGTCAGGTGGACGGTGACGGTGGCCGAGGAGTATTAGTGGAGTTTTAGTGGGTTAGTGGAGGATTACCTGCGAACTGAGGGCTGTTGTCGTTCACGTCCGTCAGGTGGACGGTGACGGTGGCCGAGGCTGTCGGTGAGCTCGGGTCGCTCCCCGTGGCAACCACCTGAGAGAGAGACAGAGACGCAGCATCCAGCAACCTTACAGACATTCAGTGACGGAGGTGGTTAGAGACACGACATCCAACAACCTTACAGACATTCACCTTGACGGAGGTGGTTAGAGACGCGACATTCAACAATCTTACAGACATTCACAGTGACGGAGGTGGTTAGAGACACCACATCCAACAACCTAATAGACATTTACCTTGACGGAGGTGGTTAGAGACACGACATCCAACAACCTTACAGACATTCACCTTGACGGAGGTGGTTAGAGACACGACATCCAACAACCTTACATTCACCTTGACGGAGGTGGTTAGAGACACAGCATCCAGCAACCTTACAGACATTCAGTGGCGGAGGTGGTTAGAGACACGACATCCAACAACCTTACAGACATTCAGTGGCGGAGGTGGTTAGAGACGCGACATCCAACAACCTTACATACATTAACCTTGACGGGGTGGTTAGAGACACTGAACATCCAACAACCTTACAGACATCAACCGAGATGGAGACTGTTAGAGACACAACATCCAACATTCAACAACCTTACAGACATTCACATTGACTGTGGCGGTGGTGACACAACATCTAATGACCTTACATACATTCACAGTGAATGTGACGGAGGCGGTTAAGCCTGAAACAGACTTTTTCCGCAGTCAGGAAAGCGGATGCGAGAGCCTATTCAAATACATGGAAGCACGCTCGCATCAATCGCACGCACCTCCCGCATGGGATTGATGCGGGAAGAATTATAATGTATTTGAATAGGCTCTCGCATGCGACTTTCTGACTCTTTCTGGATGCGGAAAGAGTCTGTTTCAACCTTTAGAGTCTAGAGACACAACATCCCACAACCATACAGGCATTCACAGTGACTAAGGCGGGGTGTGATCGCTTTACGTGACCTAGTGCCCTGACCTTGAGCGACCTGAATCTCCAATTTTAACCCGCGCGGGGCTGGTGTCTCCAGCCGAACGCGCGGGGCTGGGGGGGGGTTAAAATTTACCCCCCTGTTATCTCCCGAACTAATGGTCCGATTTGGAAAATTCAATCGCCAATCGAAAGATCTTATCACGAAAAACTAAAAACATGTACTTAATTTAAAGTTTGAGGTCAAGGTCAAGGTCAGGTCAAGGGTACAAATGGCAAGTTTCTACAGTATCGGCCTTGCACCGTAGTTGCCGAAGAATGGAGTCATGGACTGAGACTGATTGCCCAAAACGTGCTCTTAGGCTACCAAGACAATATTCCTTGCATACAATATCATTCAGAGGTCAAGGTCAAGGTCAAGGTCAGGTCAGGTCAGGTCATGTCACCAAAAACAAAATATAGAAAAGAGCATGTGCGACACATGTTTTATGGGCCATTTTATTCATAGAATTCAATAGGCACACTCAATAGGTGATATGGACCACATCTGGATGAATTTCAGGTCGAGGTCAGGTCAAGGTCAGGTCAAGTGAGGTCAAATTTTGAAGTTGGTTGTTAAGGCTTAAAAAGGTGTCTATCTGATGCAGTTTTTCACGGCAAATCGAATGGTACTATTTTGGTTTCCGTACGAGGTCTAGAACTTCCAAAAAAAAACTTTTTTTTAATTGTTTGTCGTGACGTCATAAACTGTTGAATAACTTCCACAATTTTGAACCGATTCTTCTAAAAATTGATATGTAGGTGCACATATACCACTTCTCTGACATATATTCCGTTTTTTTCGATACACGTAAAATTTTGGATTTTATAATTAATTTCCCAAAAACGTCAGTTTTTTTAAGAAAAAAAATTGGGCTAAAATCCAAAATTTACAAAAAAAAACGAGATAGCTATTTGATAGACAAATTAGAATCACGTATATCCTTTTTGTTACGTCTTGATTCCTTTAAAAAATGAAGATGTTAGCGGCGTTTGAAACTTTGCCGTTTTTTTAGGCGAAAATGGCGAACATGACGTCACTAAAACGCCATTTTCTAAAAAAACAAATCCGACGGATTTCGCTCAAATTTTCAGGAAACGTGTCAAATTGAAGCATGATAAGGTACTGAAAGTTTGATGTCGCTAGCGTAACGCGTTTAGAAGTTATTGGCGAGAAACGGGAGGGGGATGGGCAGATTCTGCTCCCTCCACCCCCCTTCGGGGCGCGGGTCAATCGTCTAGACGCTTAAATCAGTTACACGACATACGATAAGTTTCTCTCTTTGCACGTGAAGCAACTGTAAACCCTGTCTACGGTGCGGGACAAGAGCTGTTTATGGCCCCGTACCGTCAGGGTGATGGTCCGGTGGTCCTCCTTTTCGTAGTCCATGTAGTCCTTGTCGACCACAGCGATGGTGGTCTGCAGCTGCCCGGAGCCGGAGGACTGCTGCAGCTGGAACACGTCCTTCTGAGCTCCCTCCAGAGACAGTGTGATGTAGTTGTTCTGAAACGTCTGCGGCAGGGCGGAGCGCCGGCGTCAGACAGACGCCAACAACAACAGAACAACAGCAGCAACAACAACAACAACTGGAACGTCTGCGGCAGCGCGGAGCGCCGGCGTCAGAAAGACACCAACAACAGAACAACAGCAGCAACAACAACAACTGGAACGTCTGCGGCAGCGCGGAGCGCCGGCGTCAGACAGACACCAACAACAACAGAACAACAGCAACAACAACAACAACTGGAACGTCTGCGGCAGCGCGGAGCGCAGGCGTCAGACAGACAAACAACACTGCGGAGGACCCCTAACAACAACAAAGCACCGTGGAGTGCCTGTAACAACAACAGAAACAACCCAACACGGCGGGAGCCTGTCGACCCGCCACTAAGCCCTGATCTGCCACTGAGCCCTGATCTGCTACTGAGCCCTGATCTGCTACTGAGCCCTGATCTGCTACTGAGCCCGGTCTGCTACTGAGCCCTGATCTGCTACTGAGCCCTGATCTGCTACTGAGCCCTGATCTGCTACTGAGCCCTGATCTGCTACTGAGCCCTGATCTGCTACTGAGCCCGGTCTGCTACTGAGCCCTGATCTGCTACTGAGCCCTGATCTGCTACTGAGCCCTGATCTGCTACTGAGCCCGATCTGTCACTCACCGCGTCCTTATCAGTCACATTGATGGTGAGGTCCAGATTTCCCGTTTTGTTCTCTGCGAAGTCGGCCTGCATGGAGGTATTCTCAAACTTTGGTCCGTTGTCCTCCAGGTCATTGACCGTGATCAGGGCGGTGCCGTTCACACAGGTGATGTTGCTGCAGGCCTGGTCCGGGTCATCTGCCGTATCACGGGGTGATACACAGTCACACAGGGCTGGTCCGGGTCAACTGTGGTAGCACGGGGTGATACACAGTCACACAGACCTGGTCCGGGTCACCTGGTGTAGCACGGGGTGATACACAGTCACACAGGGCTGGTCCAGGTCACCTGGGGTAGCACATACACAGTCACACAGGCCTGGTCCGGGTCACCTGCGGTATCACGGGGTGATACACAGTCACACAGACCTGGTCCGGGTCACCTGCGGTAGCACGGGGTGATACACAGTCACACAGGGCTGGTCCGGGTCACCTGCGGTATCACGGGGTGATACACAGTCACACAGGGCTGGTCCGGGTCAACTAGGGTAGCACGGGGTGATACACAGTCACACAGGGCTGGTCCGAGTCACCTGCCGTATCACGGGATGATACACAGTCACACAGGGCTGGTCCGGGTCACCTGCGGTAGCACGGGGTGATACAGAGTCACACAGGGCTGGTCCGGGTCACCTGGTGTAGCACGGGGTGATATACAGTCACACAGGGCTGGTCCGGGTCACCTGGTGTAGCACGGGGTGATACACAGTCACACAGGGCTGGTCCGGATCACCTGCGGTAGCACGGGGTGATATACAGTCACACAGGGCTGGTCCGGGTCACCTGCGGTAGCAAAGGGTGATACACAGTCACACAGGGCTGGTCCGGGTCACCTGGTGTAGCACGGGGTGATACACAGTCACACAGGGCTGGTCCGGGTCAACTGGGGTAGCACGGAGTGATACACAGTCACACAGGCCTGGTCCGGGTCAACTGGGGTAGCACGGGGTGATACACAGTCACACAGGCCTGGTCCGGGTCACCTGCGGTAGCACGGGGTGATACACAGTCACACAGGGCTGGTCCGGGTCACCTGTGGTAGCACGGGGTGATACACAGTCACACAGGGCTGGTCCGGGTCACCTGCCGTAGCACGGGGTGATACACAGTCACACAGGGCTGGTCCGGGTCACCTGCAGTAGCACGGGGTGATACACAGTCACACAGGCCTGGTCCGGGTCACCTGGGGTAGCACGGGGTGATACACAGTCACACAGGGCTGGTCCGGGTCACCTGGGGTAGCACGGGGTGATACACAGTCACACAGGGCTGGTCCGGGTCACCTGCGGTAGCACCGGTGATACACAGTCACACAGGCCTGGCCCGGGTCACCTGGGGTAGCACGGGGTGATACACAGTCACACAGGGCTGGTCCGGGTCACCTGGTGTAGCACGGGGTGATACACAGTCACACAGGGCTGGTCCGGGTCAATTGGGGTAGCACGGAGTGATACACAGTCACACAGGCCTGGTCCGTGTCACTTGTGGTAGCACGGGGTGATACACAGTCACACAGGCCTGGTCCGGGTCACCTGGGGTAGCACGGGGTGATACACAGTCACACAGAGCTGGTCCGGGTCACCTGGGGTAGCACAGGGTGATACACAGTCACACAGGGCTCGTCCGGGTCACCTGCGGTAGCACCGGTGATACACAGTCACACAGGCCTGGTCCGGGTCACCTGGGGTAGCACGGGGTGATACACTGTCACACAGGGCTGGTCCGGGTCACCTGGTGTAGCACGGGGTGATACACAGTCACACAGGGCTGGTCCGGGTCAATTGGGGTAGCACGGAGTGATACACAGTCACACAGGCCTGGTCCGTGTCACTTGTGGTAGCACGGGGTGATACACAGTCACACAGGCCCGGTTCGGGTCACCTGCGGTAGCACGGGGTGATTCACAGTCACACAGGGCTGGTCCGGGTCACCTGGTGTAGCACGGGGTGATACACAGTCACACAGGGCTGGTCCGGGTCACCTGCCGTATCACGGGATGATACACAGTCACACAGGGCTGGTCCGGGTCACCTGGGGTAACACGGGGTGATACACAGTCACACAGGGCTGGTCCGGGTCACCTGCGGTAGCACGGGGTGATACACAGTCACACAGGCCTGGTCCGGGTCACCTGCGGTAGCACGGAGTGATACACAGTCACACAGGGCTGGTCCAGGTCACCTGGGGTAGCACATACACAGTCACACAGGCCTGGTCCGGGTCACCTGCGGTAGCACGGGGTGATACACAGTCACACAGGCCTGGTCCGGGTCACCTGCGGTAGCACGGGGTGATACACAGTCACACAGGGCTGCTCCGGGTCACCTGGTGTAGCACGGGGTGATACACAGTCACACAGGGCTGGTCCGGGTCACCTGCCGTATCACGGGGTGATACACAGTCACACAGGGCTGGTCCGGGTCACCTGCCGTATCACGGGATGATGCACAGTCACACAGGGCTGGTCCGGGTCACCTGGGGTAGCACGGGGTGATACACAGTCACACAGGGCTGGTCCGGGTCACCTGCGGTAGCACGGAGTGATACACAGTCACACAGGGCTGGTCCGGGTCACCTGGGGTAGCACGGGGTGATACAGTCACACAGGGCTGGTCCGGGTCACCTGCGGTAGCACGGGGTGATACACAGTCACACAGGGCTGGTCCGGGTCACCTGCGGTATCACGGGGTGATACACAGTCACACAGGCCTGGTCCGGGTCACCTGGGGTAGCACGGGGTGATACACAGTCACACAGGCCTGGTCCGGGTCACCTGGGGTAGCACGGGGTGATACACAGTCACACAGGGCTGGTCCGGGGCACCTGCGGTAGCACGGGGTGATACAGTCACACAGGGCTGGTCCGGGTCACCTGGGGTAGCACGGGGTGATACAGTCACACAGGGCTGGCCCGGGTCACCTGCCGTAGCACGGGGTGATACAGTCACACAGGGCTGGTCCGGGTCACCTGGGGTAGCACGGGGTGATACACAGTCACACAGGCCTGGTCCGGGTCACCTGCGCACTGTAGGCCGGCAGCCCGAAAAAGCGCTAGAAATTCCCCCAAACTGACTCTCCGCAATATGAACAAAATAGGTATCATTTAATCCCAAATTGATCGAAGAATACGATTTCGATGCCAGTTTTTCCCTAAGGTCAAAATTGAGGTCGTCAGTTGTCACCAAACACAAGACAATTTAGACTCTCTAGTGGCCACCACATTTACCGATTTTCATGATGATCTTTAGTGGTAATTTATTAGCTGACCAATCGTCGTTTTGAACGAAATTTCCTCACAGACTAGTTTAGGGCACTGTTGTTCACTGTGCCAACATCATTCTTACATATTGCATCGCTTTTCTGCAAGATAAGCTAGCTTTTTGCAAGCAGCTGCAAGACGTAATTAAAAATCATATCTAATTTTTTAATTAGACTTTTATAAAAATGTGATTTCGAGCAGCTAAAAATGAACATCTTATACTAGCCTCTGATTACTCATCTTTCGTTCCATATAGGTGCTTTGCTGCTTTTCCCTGCTACTTTTCGAGATATGCGCCAGTAAACCACATGATGTAGGGGCAATTGTCACCTCGCCGCTCTACTGAAGGCCCGGCGCTCTTTAAAGCGCTGGAAGTTTTGAAAAACAAACGCGTATAATCAGAATAAAATATATGTCCCTGAGCTCAGAATTGATCAACGCACACAATGCTGTGAAAAATTTTGGCCCAAACTAAACAAATTCAGTCGTTATTAACCCCCAAACACAAGTCAGTGATAATCAACAACAACTTGCTCTTTAGTCAGACTTTTTGAGAAATGTTATTTCGAGCCGCTAAAAATGACCATGCCATACAAACCACTAATCATCTTTCTGTCATGCCCTACTCGCAATTTTTGCTAATGCCTGCTACTCTTCGAGGTCACGTGACCTCACCAATAAAAGTCAATGGGGAAATAAGGAAACTGTTGTTTTTGCGCATGAAATGATCTCAAACTATCTCAAGCACACGGAATCGTAATTTCATGCACTCCTTGCAAGATCCGATGCTTTACTTTTGCATTTTTGACCTTCCGTGACGTCATTTATGACGTCACTACGGTCATAGGAGTTTCTCGTCAATAACTCATGATCAAATTGAGCCAGCGACTCGGGAAGGCCACCAATGGACTCGGGAAGACCTCCCGAATCGAATGATATGCAATACGACTTCCTTCGATTAAGTTCGTGGCCTGATGGGCTCTGAAATGACCTTGACTCGAGGTCAACACCTTAAGTTGACCTCACCCGGACAAAAAGTATACCATTCGACGCGCCTGAGCCAGGCGAACACGATGGTGCCAAAATCGCTGCTCTGCGGCCATTTTTTGCGAAATTATTTACCAAAAACTAAACCCTACCTTGGGCTTTTTGACTTCACCTCAGAGGTTACCGGTTGACCTGGGACCTTAAAATCGGGTATCAATCGTTTCATCTTGAAACGGCGCACACGCTTGTTTTTTCCGCGAGGCTCTAGCTCCATTAGGGGCGAAACGGCGAAAAGGGGTCTTACCAACCCTCCCCCTCGGCTGGCCGAGGGGGTGGAGGGAGGGGTCCGACAATAGGTCCGGCGAGGGTTAAGCAGCCCCACGTCGTTTTTAGCATGTTTGCTTGTCACTGAGATCAACAACTCAATCACAGATAATTTCTAGCACTTTTCCGGGCCCCCGGCCCAGTGTGCTGCGGTAGCACGGGGTGATACACAGTCACACGAATCGAATGCCCATTTCGAATCGATACCCATTTTATGCAAAAATATCAACTTTGAAATTTGACCTAATTTGACCTGACCTTGACCTGAACTTGACCAAAACGTGACCTAAGCTGGCCCCAAAGGCTGCCCGACCCACATAATCGCATTTGTCATGTAAAATGGACCATAAAACATGTATTACACGACACTTTCATATTGTGACCCCCCAGTGACCTGACCTCTGTGACCTGACCCGGTATCAGTGACCTGAAATAGCAAAATATGTGTTTGAAGAACATTTCCCCATCGATGATTTTCAATGAAATGCATTTTACTCGATTTTACAACGCATTTCTTGAAATTCCTGTAAACGGTGAAAATTCGACCTTTGACCTGACCTGTGACGTCATCGGTTTGACCTAGGTCAATAAAATTGGGTCACAAGGAAGTTCCCTGATAGGGCTATCCAACACCGTTTGCTGCTTGTCGCTAGGTTGCGTGGTTCTCGAGATCTTAAGGGGGGGGGGGGGGCAAATTGCCCCCCCCCCCCCCCAACAGGGCGCGTTGCTCGGCAGAGCCCAACGGGGCGCGGGTTAAACGTACTAGGCCGACGCACACGACGCCCTGAGCTGTTCCACGTGCCTCCGGTGGAAGTGGCAGGGTGGACTCTGTGAGGAGAGGCTTTTTGGTGCGAGTTCCTCAACTGCTCAACTCGCTTATGCAGGATAACCATCAGAACGACTTATTCCCAGCCGTCCCGATCTTTGAGATCGGACTCAGTTCAGTTTGCTGGTCGTCAGGGCTCTTACGTATGCTAGCTCCGTGGTAGAGAGTAGCATGTAAGGTTGAGTCGTGCTGTGTTTATTACTTAGTTACATGCATTGTCACGTGGTACGGCTGCTTTCTGTACAGTGACATTGACACTGCCGTAGACTCCCTGTCACGTGGTACGGCTGCTTTCTGTACAGTGACATTGACACTGCCGTAGACTCCCTGTCACGTGGTACGGCTGCTTTCTGTACAGTGACATTGACACTGCCGTAGACTCCCTGTCACGTGGTACGGCTGCTTTCTGTACAGTGACATTGACACTGCCGTAGACTCCCTGTCACGTGGTACGGCTGCTTTCTGTACAGTGACATTGACACTGCCGTAGACTCCCTGTCACGTGGTACGGCTGCTTTCTGTACAGTGACATTGACACTGCCGTAGACTCCCTGCATTAGCGTCGCCACGGGGGGGGGGGGGCAAGCGGGGCAGCTTGGCCCCCCCCAACCTCGGACCGGGCACCCCCTGAGATCGATGCAGATCCGATAGATTTTCGAGTCGGGAAAAAATGGGGTACCTTTCGGAGAATGTCTGTGAGGTCAGACTCGGTTGGAGCGTGCAGTTCAAACAAGAGTCAGAGTCGCAGTCGCCAAAAATCTTCAAGACTCCGACTCCAGACTCAGAAATGCCAATGCTGTGATTCATTCCATGTTCCTAGTTGGTGTTCTTTATTACATTTTATAGCTGGTTTTCATAAGTTTTGGAGCCTACTGACACATAATTTTCGTTCAAAGCGTGACACGAAATCTTCGCGGCCTTTCTCAACTCTCGCCAAATGTCTGTGACAGGCTCAACTACCGTTCAAGTGCAGCAGGGCTCATGAGCTTGCTTTTCACACAGGCTCCTAAGGAGCTCCACTGAGCCCTGAAGAAGCTTTCAGAGGGCCCAAACCGGCCTCTGAAAGTCCCACTGGTGTCCATGCTCTCTGAGGGCCCATAACAGGGATCTTTGAGGGATCGTTACAGGGATCTTTGAGGACCTTATACATTATGTAGACCTCTGAAGGGACACACGAATCTTTGAGGATGCCTTCGAAAATTTCTGAGAACCTTAATTGGCCTCGGATAGTTCAGTCGAACTTTTCAGCGACAGACTTTGGTAACCCCAAGCCGGCATCTGAGGGATCACAACTAACGTGCACCTCTGAGGGCCGCAACACATGTTTCTTATGTCCCTACGTAGGGTCTTAAGGGATTCGACACAGACCCCGACGGTTCACACTGTTATCCGAGGGCTCCAGGCTTACCCTGGGCCCAGTCTCTTAGCGCCCGCCGACTACACTGGCTTCTGTGGGTCCCACCTTGGGCTCGGAAAGCCCCAAAGCACCACATACACGTAAATATTTGGGATGACCCACGCCGATCTCAGGTGTCCTAAGCAGGCTTCTGAGAGTCCACACTGATCATGAGTGGCCTGAAATGGCTTGGTAGTCCCAAGCCTATCTCTAAGGGATCCCTTGCCGCTATGCCGTGCGTAACGTTTGGTTCCGTTAAACATTTTTTGTTCACGTTTGCAGCGCTTCCCTTCACACGAAAAACGAGAAACGTTTTGTTCACACTCGAGTGAACAAAACACTTCCTCTCACTGGAGCAAAGATGAATTATTTCCGATTCACACTTCCGAGATTCACTCTCAGTCTCCGGCGAATGCCCAACTTCGCTACAATCGGCAGCTGGGATAAGCCCTATGCATTTCACGTAAAACCTCTGCATGCATGCGTGAATGGAGGTTTTAGCAGGGTGATCGGAAATGGAGCGTTTGTCACCTTTTTCTGGGTAATGATCATGAGCGACGAGAGTCTGCACAAGGGCCCTCTGCAGTGCGTCGGCAACGGAGCCACTGTAATTCTACCGGTCGTTTTTGTCCAGAAATTTGAAAATTTCGAATTTCTCTGTAAAAAAGCTGCATGTCATAGCTAGAAGGAAAACTTTGTCACCATCGAATTCTTCGCACCATTGCGCGTCGAACGATATGTAAAACGAGTGAGTAACGACTGGGGAAAGGCAAGATTTAACACAAAAGTTGATTTTGCCCCCCCCCCCCCCAACCGAAAATCTCTGGCGACGCCTATGACTCCCTGTCACGTGGTACGGCTGCTTTCTGTAAACTGTGACATTGACACTGCCGTAGACTCCTTGTTACGTGGTGTACTTACTCTTCGGGGACTCCCTGGCCTGTAGTACCACGTTGATAAATCCGCGATCAATGAGATCTGGGTCCTCCCGGTCAAGCTTCTTCTTCAGAGTGACCTTTCCCGTGGTGGGGTCGACCATCTCCACGAACCCCTCCGGATCCTCTGGAGACGGACAACATAAACCATATGAACAAACTGGTCAGGGGCCCCAGTGGGGTGAATACGTCCACAACAGCACACAGCTACCTCGGCAAACAGTCCACGACATACCAACCCAAAATCGTGACATCACACCCTACCTACCATATTTTTGGTGGAATTTCGTCTAAGGTTTACATTGCCCGGCGATTCATGTTGTGACATTTTCAATCTCACCTATCAAATGCTTCGGGAAATATTGCCCCAGGCAACCCCATGGCGATCTTCAAAACTGGGGCATTCCACGATAGATCGTACCAGGCCCGTCACCCTCATCTCTCAAATTTTAATAAAAATCGGTCCTAGGGGTAACCATAGATCCCAAAGACGCCTGGCAAAATATCAGACCTCTCAGATCTAAACTTTTTGAGTTATATTGCATTACATTTTTTAACCCTCGCCGGACCTATTGGTTTTCTACATACGCGCCGGCCGAGGGGGTGGGGGGGGGGGGGCGGGTACGACCCCCCCCCTCGCCGTTTCGCCCCTGGTGGAGCTAGCGCGTCGCGGAAAAAACGAGCGTGTGCGCCGTTACGAGACGCAGAGATTGGTACCCGATTTTAAGGTCCTAGGTCAACCGGTGACCTCTGAGGTCAGGTCAAGTGCCCCAGGGTACGGTTCAGTTTTTGGTGAATAACTTCGCAAAAAACGGCCGCAGAGCCGCGATTTTGGCAGCATCGTGTTCGCCTCGCTCAGGCGCGTCGAATGATATACTTTTTGTTCGGGTCAGGTCAACTTGGGGTGTTGACCTCAGGTCAAGGTCAGGTCAGCACCCCCAGGTCACGAAGTTGGTCGAAAGAGGTCATGTCGCATATCATTCGATTCGGCAGGTCTTTTTTTTTTTTGTTTTTTTTTTTTTCACGTTTATTGACAAATCGTACAAATATGACACAAGTACATCTATAATAATCGAAGGCTCTCCAGCCCAACAAGGACAATCTCTGTCATGGTTTCTGACGCCGGTTTTCCGTCTATGCTAAACGAGCGCCCCAGATTGAGGCGTTTAAACTCGCAAACGCCTGATATGCACCGACACAATAGGGCTTTCAAAACCCCCACAACGTGCGAGTAATATTTGGCAAGCGTACACGCTGGCATAAACATACAGTGTTGGCAATATACACAAAAACGGAAGCCACATTTCAGCTGCATTTTGACTGGGCGGCGGCCGAACTATAAAAATACCTATAGCTCGCCGCCACCACCACGCGACGTGGTGTGGCCCGCCTGGCCAAGCCGGGGCGTTGTCCCATCATGGACTAAAGAAAACGCCCCGGCCCCGGGGAGATCTGGGGGATACCTCCCCAGCCGGGGAGAGCTGTGGGTTACCTCCCCGGCGCTCCAGGCGGGCCATCAGCCACCGCCCGCGCCGCCCGGCGAAGGGGTATCGCGGGCGGCGCCCCCTATCCACCGGCCGGGCATGCGAGCCGTCGACTGGTAGGGCCGGCGCCCCGCACGCCCGGCCGGCCGACCGGCCCCAGTCAAAGAGGCCGGTCCCGGGTTGGCCCGGATGGGTCATGGGAGCGGTGGCTGATTTTTTGCAGTTTTTTCCATACATTTCTTATACAATCACCGTGAACCACACACACACACTATCATATATTTGCGGTATGCTCTGTGGGCCGAGGCGAGCCAAGGAGCCAGTTGGTTTCGCCCCTTCTCTGACCTATTCTTGTCGACCACTTAGCATTAAAAGAGTTCATTTTATTGTTCACCTTTGCCCAATACATCTCACTTGTCTGATCTATCGTAAGTATGGTTATAAGTGTGTCTACCGAAAGTCTCCTCCCAGAGTAAATCATGTACACGCCTACACTAACAATATGGTTTATAATCGCATTTTCTGTGCCGCCTAGAATTACCTCCTTCACCCTGGTTATCCTTTCTGGTGTGCTTATCTGAATTCTGGTCAACCACGCTTCAACATTGTCCCAGAAAGCCTTAATCCTCGAACAATACCAGAATTTATGTTCTATATTTTCACGCTCCGTACAATAACTGCATGAATCGGTTCCCATTAATCCAATTTTGTTGAGAAAGCTGTTTGTTCCTACTGTTCTTGTAATGATTTTATACCTAACTGCTCTATACTGCTGTGGAGTGCCCCTGAGACTTCTGTATATTTGCTGCCAATCGATTTGACCCAGCCTTCTCTCCCAGGACATTTCCCATATGTTTCTGACATCTCTCTCACTCTTTCCTGTCTGAAGACATTTTTTAAATGTGATGTACCCGTGTTTCTAGAAATAATCAAGCTTATTAATGGATCTATACTTGGTCCAAATAACTTCACCTTTTCTCCCGATTCCTTCCATTCTCTAGGTAAGCTACTTATTAGTGTTGCATAATCCAGAAAAGTGGTTGTAATGTTGTAGGTCCGTTTTAATTCCTCAAAACCTAGTAAAGATCCATCTGTTTTTAATAAGTCATTCAACGATCTGATGCCTTTGACATACCATTCTTCAATCCATGAAGTTTTGAACTTAGTAGTATCAGAAAAAAAGATAGCTGTGGAGTTTAGCTCCTCGACACCTAGCTTCTGTGAGCATATTTCCCTGAAATTTGCTAATGCTATCATCACGTCTCTCCAGAATAGATTCTTAGTACGAGATGCCTTTCTTTTCAAAGCTGTTTGACCCATTTGCCAGAAATATATATTTTTACCCGTACTTTTCTGTGCAACTGCGTTCCATATTCCTTGCTTTACAATGCACCTCCTAATCCAAGATAGCTTCAAGGCTCTCATATAACTTGTTAAATCAACCATGTCCACTCCTCCATTGAGATGGTTTTTCATCAAAGACTCCCGTTTGATTTTTTCTCCTTTTCCATGCCACAGAGAGCTGAAAAGAGTCTTGTTAAGATCTTTGATAATTTTTTTTGATGGGTCAGGGAGCGTTGTGAGCAGGTGACTAATCTTGGAGATCAGCATCGATTTTATTATTACCACTTTTCCTTCCAGTGATACGTTTCTGAACTTCCATTTCGTTATTTCTCTTTTGATTTCCTTTACCTTCTCTGTGTACAGTTCTGTTACTTTTTGCAGTTCATTATCGAAAGTGACCCCTAGGACTTTAATCGTTTCACTCCACTTTACAGCTAAATTTCTCTGAAGAAAACGATTTTCTCTGCATGCCTTCCCTATCCACATAGCTTGAGTCTTATCGAGGTTTGGACTCAGTCCCGAATACTTCGCGAACCATCCTATCTCTTGGAAGAGTTCCATCATGCTTGTTTTCTCTGGTTCGAGTAAACAAATCGTATCGTCTGCATACATGAGCACTTTGTGTTCCTCATTGTCTATTTTAATTCCTTTGATAGCTGCATTTCCTCGAATCTTTTTCGCTAAAACGTCCATCACAAGAATAAACAAGTAACAACTTAGCGCATCCCCCTGTCTACAAGACCTTGTTAGCATTATTTTATTTTACTCGACAAATGACCATTATACAAAATTCTGGAAAAAGCTCCAGCATACAGTGTGTTGAACCAATGTGTAATACTATGCGGAAAGTTTTTCTGCTCCAGGACTTTTTTAATGAAAGTCCAACTGACTGAATCAAAAGTTGCTTCTATATCCAGACTTACTAAGACCCCGTTCTTTTGTTCTTGATTCAAGAGTTGGATAACGTCGTAAATCATCCTGATGTTGTCCCCAATAAATCTCCCTTTTAAATAGGCAGACTGGCAATCCTCGATTATGTCTCCTAGCACGAGTTTTAATCGATTTGCAATAGCACCTGAAATGATTTTGTAGCTAGTATTTAGGAGTGTTATTGGTCTATATGACTTGATCAAATCTCTGGGTCTATTTGGCTTAGGTAACAACACGATTATTCCTTCTTTTAAAGTTAGAGGAACTGTACCCTTTGTGGCACTCTCAACTACCATAGCATGAAAAAAGTGTTTTATGTCTGCCCAGAAGAATTTATAAAACTCTACGGAAAAACCGTCACTACCTGGAGACGTTCCATTTTTCATTCTCTGTAGCGTTGATCCTAATTCTTGCATGTTCAACGGCTTATCTAGATTGAGCTTGTCATGGTCATTTACTTTTTTAATATCCATGTTTGATAGATATTCATCGTAATTAGCTCCCTCTAAAAACTCATCCTCACTTTTGAACCTTTTTTGATAAAATCTACGGAATAGGTCAAGAAATTCTATTTGATTCCTTGTGCAGCCTGCTGACGATCTGATGCATGGTATCCTCTTACTTTCGTACCTCCTTTTTTCTAATGTAAGAAAATACTTTGTTGGTTTTTCCGCATTTTCCCTCCATACAGCTCTCGCCCTAACCAAACTCCCTTCCAACTTGATCCTCCTTACGTCTTCCAATTCTTTTTTCTTGTTTTGTATCTGATCGTACAATGAGTGAGTACCTAAAGCGTCAAGCTCTTTCTCTAAAAGAAGTATATCTCTTTCCAATTGGTTTTCTCGCCTTCGTTCCTCCCTTCTCTTCCTAATGCCGAAAGAGACTGTTTCTCTTCTTAACGTCAGCATCAGAGTTTCAAAAAACAAAGATGAATCAATTGTCATTTCTATCTTTGTTGAGGTCTCCAAAATGTAGTCATGTGCGTATACGGGAAGAGCGTATTCTACTACCGTACTCTTAATCGTATCTTTTATCATTTTGACGTAATTTTTGTCTCTTAACAATGATGCATTGAATTTAAAGAGTCCTCTTCCCCTCGGCTGCTTTGAGAAGTCCACCGTCAATGTAATAATAGAGTGATCCGATCTATAACCTGGTTGAATGTCCGCCTCATCAACATAACTTTCCAGAGCAGCACTAGTAAGAAACATATCCAGTCTCGCCTGCTTTACTATTGGGTTTCCAACCCGCCAAGTATATCTTCGGTTTTCAGGATTTTTTTCTCTGTATATGTCTATCAATTCATTTTGTACCATCATTGCTTTTACTGCTTCTCTAGCTCGAGTGTTGTTTTCTCTTCTATA